CATGACTGGTGAATTTGAAGCACAGACAGTGCAGTTGTTATATAATTGTTGTTAAATGCTGTCGAGTCAGTTCCAAATAATAGCAACACTTTATATGGTCTCCCTGGAGTGACTGGGGAGCTTAAACCACCAACCTTGCAATTCAAACAGACTTTGCAGTCCAGCACATTAACCCACAGCAACAATTTATATCCTTAAGCCTTGTAAGGATATAAATTCGGGTCATCATGAGGAAGAGATGCATGGGTGATATTTGGGAAGGTAATAAGCAAATTTAATATAGTTCATTCTAGTACTGGGTTATTATTTTATGTTATCCAATCAATTTTGACTCATAGTGACCCTATAAGACTGAGATGAAATGCCACATAGGTTTTCTGAGACTGATTTTTACTGGAATTGAGTGTCAGGTTTTTCTCCTTCAGAGTGACTGATAGGTTTGAACTACAGACATTTTGCTTATCAGCTTAACCATTGGTCAGTTAGGGCTCCTTAAGATTCTATATTTAAAAGAGAATGGAAACATGGAAATAAATGTTTAGCAAAAGATGAATGTTTTAACAGTGATGCTGAAGGCATCAGGGGATGTCTATTTTTGGTAAGAAAAAAAAAAACTTTGCAAATATTATTTCCTTGCTAAAACATAATACAATGACTATCAATTAGAATTTATGTCAGGTCCCACAGAGTTAGAAATAGACAAAAACATTAATTATTACGTGTTTTCAATTCACACAATCCAAGTGGGAGTGTCTTGATGTAATTATCTTACCGTTTTCTTGAATGTAGTAACTGCTGTTCTTAAAATTCTACTTACAGCTTTCTTTATCTGCTTGTTTCTAAGACTATAGATAATAGGATTCAAGAATGGGGGAACTATGGAATAGAACACAGACATGATCATGTCTTGGACTGAAAGTGAGTTGGAGGTTGGCTTCAGATACACAGCAGAACCAGAGCTGAGAAAGACTGTAACTATGAGGATGTGAGGGATGCAGGTAGAAAAGGCCTTTCCTCGTTCTGCTCTGGTTGGTAACTTAAGAACAGTAGAAAATATGTGAATATAAGACATGCTGATGAAGGAAAAGCAGCCACCACAAATTATTATTGCAGATGAAAAAATTGCAATCTTGTTACTTAGGGTGTCAGAGCAGGAGAGCTTCAGCAGAGAGGGAATATCACAGAAAAACTGATGGATCACATTGGATTGACAGAATGACAAACAGAATGTGTTGCCAGTGTGTACACCTGCATAGGCCAGGCCAGTTATCACACAGGCCAGTGACATCTGGACGCAGACACGAGGGTTCATGACCACATGGTAGTGGAGGGGCTGGCAGATGGCCACATAGCGGTCACGGGCCATGATGGTGAGTAACACAAATTCTGCAGAGGCACATGAAAACATGAGGAAGATCTGAGCTGCACATCCAAACTTGGTGATCACCCTATTGTTAAATAAGAAGATGACACATGCCTTGGGTACAGTGACAGATATGTAACACATGTCCAGGACAGACAGATTCCAAAGAAAGAAGTACATCGGTTCATGAAGACTATGGTCAGTGGTGATTGCTGTGACAATGAGAAGGTTTCCCATTAGAGTAGCCAAGTACATCAGTAGAAATAGCATGGTTAGCAAAATTCTGATCTCCCACACATCAGAAAATCCTGTAAGTAGGAATTCAGTCACTATGGTAGAGTTAGTCATTTTAGTATAATTTCTTTAGGATTTGCAGAGACAAAGGTAAATAATCCCTAAAAAAAATGAAGAATCAAACTGGGGAAAGAAATTAGTCTAACTACATTTATCTCTTTCATTCTTTGTTGTTGGAAATTCCTGGTATAAAAGAACAAAATGTTGACTCACATGTCTTCAGTCTCTTTGATTGTATAACTTTTTTCTAGGTTGCAGCAAAATATGATATTTGAGTTTGTGCCCTTATTAGTATATTTTTCTGCTATTGATTTGTGGTACAATATGTTTACTGAATAATATTCTTTTTAAATTTGACATTTGATTGAATTTCTCCATAATTAAATTACTTTTATTATATTATTCAATAAAGGGCTACTATATACCTATCATAAATACCATAATCATCTAAATGAATTGTCATAACACCAGGTTTTCCTGATTTAGAATAGTTTATGTAGTCACGTTATTCAAATATTATATTATAAAATATAATTTTCATTATGATTATTCATTCTGTAAAATTATATTCATATTTTTATATGAAATAACTGTTCTACAGAAAGACAAAGGAATATTAATCTATGAACATCCATACAAAGTCAGATTTGTGTACTCAGAGGACAGATTTTGCTTTTTTCTATCAAAGATTGGAATTCATTATTTCCCAACAAGACATACCATATTCCTAGTTCAGGGTGACCATTCATCTGTTTCTTTCATTCTAGTTGTCTAAATATTGTAGGAGCCATAAGAGTCTGGTGTTTAGGTACACTGCTATGTAACAATGATGTAGAGTTTGAGCATCATTCCATTGACTGTCTACTAAATCATTACTTAAACTATAGTCTCCTGGTGGCAGCTACTGAAGAAGAGATAAATTTTATTTCCATTTTTATTATTTGAATTTTTCAACCATAAATATTTTCTAAGTACAAATATGTATTTCAATGTCTAGGACTTTGAATAATGACCTTACCTGAAAATGTGACTGATTGATTGTTGATTGACTTATGCATTCATTTATTTCACCACAACTAATCTTGACAGGTCTATAAAGTGAAAATAATGGATTTTAACATCTTTCATTGATTGAAAGTTAAGATAAGAACAAATATTTTTGGAAATAAGCAAATATGTAAATACATTTAAAGCTTGCTAAATGTTGTGCTTAATATTCTTGTTTCTATAGGAAACTATTATTTTTTTCACACAAACTGTAAATGTTTCAAAGATTAACATAGTAAACATACTGAAAGGCTTCAATGAGATTGTTTTGTTTTTATTGTTGTTTAATATGAGTCACCTTATTGAAAACTTGTTGATAATATAGTAAGATCAATTTGGTGAAAGATGAGAAGTCAATATTTATAAATCTACTCTATTGCATTTATTACAGTACCTTTCTGAAGACTGAGGTATCAGTAATGATTGTTTATCTTTTCCCGCACTAAAGTCAATGTCAGATTTCAGCTACCATATTAGGGAAATGCATCAGGTTTTTATATTTGAACATACAGTAAAGAAGAAATTTTATTATACTCATCAGTCAGTTTTAGGTTTCTGGCTAATAATTCATATATACATCAGTATAGCAGAATTAAACTTCATGACTTTCAAGAGAAGCTATGTTTTGTGTTCTGACTACCACTTGCTTATTAAACAGCTATGGGGACATCTTTAAATAACAGTGTCCTTATCTATAAAAATTTTTTAATAACATTTGCATCATTAATTTAATATAGAATAATTCAAATAAGGGAAAAATCTCAAAATGAGAGCTGTGTTGAAGAAAAATTAATGAGAATTACCAGTCACTGATAAGAATATTGAGCATGTGATTCTTTCATTTGACATCCATGGTATTAACCAATTTTAAATAAGCAAAATAGAAATGAAAAAACACAGAACTCTGTTTTTGTAAAGCAATTTTGGTTTTTTATGTGAAAACCACAATATGAAATTGTCTGAACTAGTTTGAGTAGAGTTTGTAAACCTTATACCACCACCTAATTACCTAATTTGTTAATTGGCAAGTTGGAAGTTATATGTGGCACTGGGAAATTCTTCATGAGTTACTAGATATTACTTAATTCCCTCATTCCTCAAAATGTTAAAACAAAACAAAACAAAAAAACCTTTGACTTTTATAAAAAGATTTGAAGGACATATTTCAATCTAAAGAACTAGAAAATATATATTGTGCATTGATATATTTAGTCATTTACACATACAAGTCTCTGTTTTTTTTTAATTTTCTCAAGCTTCTAAATACATGTTGTTGTTATTGTTGTTGTGAAGTGCCATAGAGACAGTTCCAACCCATAGTAACCCTGTATAGGGTTTCTGAGGAGCAGCTGATGAGCTTGAACTACCTACCTTGCAGTTCAAACAGCTTTGCAGTCTGGCACATTAACCAGGTGGATTATGTTCAGACAACGGGAGCAATCATAGTGTAGGCTCTGGTGTAGGAAGCATGAACAGATTACTTACATATTCTATGCTATAAGAACATCCTTGATTACAATTTAAGCAAAAGAAGTTTTATATAAGATTAACTCTCAAGTCAAATAGGGGGAGCATGGTGGTTCTGTAAACCACAAAGTCAGAAGTTGAAGCCCAACACTCTGTAGAAAAAAAAAAAAGGGGGGGGGGAGGCTTTCTTCTCCTGTGAATATTTGCAGCACTGGAAACCTATACTGTGTTGCTATGAGACAGAATGTACTAGATGGCACTTAGCAACCGTCACTTAGTCATTCCATACAACCAGATTATAAATCTGAGTGCTTGGTCATGAAAAATATTTTATTAAATCATTAGTTGGGTATCAATAATACACACAAATAATTATAGGTATACTTTATGTAACACGTAATCCATCTGAATTTATATTTTAGTATAAATGAAGTTGTAATTACTATGAAGAATCAATCCTGCACTAACCTTGTTATGGGCATCAATAGATTTCGATGCTATTATATACTCATTCTGAATTTCCAAAACGATCAATTCTACTGACATGACTGGGGTTACATTTTTAAATGCAAACAACAATATTTTCATTAAGAAATTATTGGTTTTAATTTTATTTACAATGTCTATCAATAAGCCAGTGAGAAATATAGATTTGCAATTTGTAATTTAAGGAGTGATAGTGAGGAGAGAAAAATAAAGTATAACAATAGATACTCACAAATTGTCATTTCTAATGTTGGATAGACATTACAGAATTTCTGGTAAGGGTACAAATGTATTTTAAGTGCAGACAACGATGAGTGAGCACAGTTCTGACTGAAAAGATTGAAGTCCTGATAGGAATAATTTTGTTTTATAACAAGAATCTCAATACTCACTTATATAAAAATGTGAAGATATTTATGATGCTTGAGTAAATCCCTGTGGGTAGACACATTGGCATATGTGCCCAGGGGTAATTTCAAGTATATAATTGGCTTTAGATGGAGCATGAATAGGTTGCTATGCATGAATTCAACTTTTATACACCAAGAAATATTAATAGTTTTGCACCTATTAAAAGAATGGTGAACATTGAACTAGTTGAAACAGAAGAGAATGTCAGTTTCTCTAATACTTTGTCTATTTTTAAGGTGAAATCTTGTGGATTATAGAGATTGTGGAGCAGAGAAAGGCCAAGTGTCTCACTTCATTCAATTTGAAAACACAGCTATTCCTGTCAACCTCTATAATTTCACTAGTCAGATCAATCTCATAGGATTTGAGCAATGGACAGAACAGCTCTTGTGAAATTACTTAATAGGTCAATATGAAGTTATGCGATGCTATTTATCAGGCTAGATACAAAGATCTTCACTGAGTAGTTTGTGAGCTTTGTGATCATAAAAACATTACTTCATCACATGTGCCTCAGATTCTTCATCTTTTAACACATTAAGGAAGATGCCCAATCTCATAATATTTGAGAGTGTACCTTAATGGAATATATAAACAGTTTAAACTAGTACATGGAACATTATCCATATAATGTAATTCTTTAAGTATCTGTTGCCCAGGACAGAATCAGTTGGGAATGTAGAAGTCTTTCCTTGGTAATTAGAGGTGCTATTTACTTTTTTTTGTTGTTGGTGTTAAATTGATTACCTGTTTCCTTCCACTATGCTTGAAAAATGTACCATTATTTCAAAAGTTCTTCTGACATATGTTAATCTGAGGCAAAACATGTGATCTACTTTGGAAAAATTTCAATGTACAGTTTGAAAAGAAATTGCATCAACATCATTGGGAGCAGTGTTCTATATGTACGAATTAAGACATTTAAATCAGTGTTTATTGTTCAAATACTTAAATATGAGTTGGAACAGACTCAACAATACCTATACAGAGCAATACACATTTGTTACTTTAAGACTACATTTTGTGTCTTTTTTATTTTATGTGTTGCATATTTTGGCATTAAGCAAATGAGGTCCAATGAAAAGGATGAAAAAAAAACAAAAAACAAAAAAACCCTCAATGAGATGGACAATAGAATGAAACACTGCCCAGTCCTCTGCTGTCCTCACATTGCTATTATGCTTGAGCCCATTCTTACAACCATTGTGACAAGCCTTCTCATTAAGGGACTTCCCCATTTTTGCAGATTCCACACTTTTCCAAGTTTGATGTACTTCTCTAGGGACTGGTCCTGCCTGATACAAAGTCCAAAGCAGGTGAGACAAACTCTCACCATCCTTACTTCTCAGGAGCATCCTGGCTGTACTTCTCTCTAGACAGATTTGTTTGTTCTTTGGCAGTCTATGGTAATTGTGATATATTTTGTTCATAAACATAATTCAAATGCATCAGTTCTTCCATCTTCCTTATTCACAGTCTGATTTTCATATGCATGTGAGGCAATTTGAAACACCATAGTTTGTGTCAGGTCCAAGTTAGTCCTCAAAGTGACATATTAGCTCTTTACCACTTTAAATAGGTCTTCTGCAAAATATTTGACTAATGAGATATGTTGTTTGATTTCTTGGCTGTTGTTCCATTAA